ATAAAGTCAACCATGGCCAATTTATAGTCAAACTTCATAATTTTTTATCAACATCAACATTTTAAACTCACATGTATCATTTGGTCAAGTTTGGATCACAATTCCTCAAGAAGTTTGATTAAATCATCAAAAGGGCAAAATGGTTAAAATTAGGGTTTTGACTGAGGAAGGGCAATTCCTGATTTTTAACCTAGCAAATGACCAATTGAGTTTAAGCATGATTTCAAGGATTCAGTGGCATCATCTTTACTTAATTACATGGCTCAAAACATCTCAAATTCATTGGATTGACAGATAAAATTTGCAGTCAACTGATCAAAAGTCAACTGTATACTAAAAAGTCAAACTTTGACTTTTTGGTCAAAATCAAGTACCAAGGGTCATAATTCATCAAAACATGTCAAAATGTGAAACTTTTCCCCAAGAAAACCAAATTTGAAAATTAGGGTTTGAATTTGAAAATTTTCATAACTTAGAAATTTTCTGAGTATAGAAACTTTTCTTATTTTTTCTCAACTTTAGGCCACTTTTTCACCATGATGCATATTGATTCAAGGAAAGTTCCCAACATGAAAGTTGTAGACCTCCATGAAGTCTACAACTTTTCTTCACAAATTTTTTCCTAAAGAAGCTTCGATCTCAAGATATAAATTTGTCAATACATGGTCATAAACTTGTTAACTTAGTGAAAATTTGCCCTAATTTAGGCAGGTTTTGGATCCAACTTCATGGCAATTTTTCACCTAGTTCCAAGAGGTATCTCAAAATGAATTTCAAAGATGAATTATAGAGCACATTGCAATATTTCCAAAATGTCCAAGAACTCCTCAAGATCATTTTTGAGTAGGGATAATCGAAGAGAGGAAGTTGGCATTTTCTCACTTTTTGTCCAAGCCATTTCATAAAGAACCAAGTTGCAAATCAATCCTATGTTGGCTACTTCATACTGTACAGGTCCTAAACTTGTTCCAAACTCCTTAATTAAATGCTTACTCAATTGACAAAGCTTTGATCCATGCTTTTGAACCTTTATCCAACTTGTAATTCCATTTATGGCAAAAAGGTTCCATTGCCATTTTGAAAAAGAGCAACTTTTGCAAACTTTACAATCTTGAGAATTGGACATGTCCCCTTGATACATACAAGTACCACAGACCAAAGGTAACTTGTAGGGAAAAAATACCAACCCTAAGGAAGCCAGTACAAGCATGTGAGCTTTGTCTTATCACTTTGCTTCAAGTACAAGAAAAGTTGCAAAAAGGCTAGGGCTTGCACAGCTGATGGAGGGTTGACACAAAACCATTTCAATACTAATATACAAACAATATACAACACATAACACGCTTGACAAGGACCTAAAACACTCCAAAGCTGAAAAACACCAAAAACCTATTTAAACCTATAGTTTATGCACAAGCACATCTATCTTCCATTTGGCTCGTGTGTTTTGTGTTTAGATCATTCAAACACCTTAGAAACTTGATACCTAGTCAATCCAGGCCTTCATCCCTATTCTATAATCACTCCTCCACCATCTTCCATTGTTAACTTCAGAGTTTGCAGTTGGACTTGGCCAAGGAGTTCCAGCTACTTTCAGAGCAAGGCAAGGGTTGGAATAGATTCAGGGAAACTCAAGGAAGCTCAAGCAAGCATCAGGCCTCCCTCAAACTCATCCTAGTGTCATTGATGATTCCAGCTGAAGGAGGTAAAATCTCAAACTCTATCTCTTTGTACAGGCAATCTTAGGCCACGATTTGTGAATAAAAAATGTAGTCCTCATCATAACGAAGTTGTACATACCATTATCTTGCATTGATTTTACTTGAGCTAAGAGAATTTGGAAGTTGAAATTTCTGAAAATGTTAGGTTGAGATTTAGGGCTTTTAAATTTCTCTTTGATATTTGATAGTTAGATTACATAGCTTACATGGTTGGAATCGTGAGTTCAAGTACTACAATTTTCATGTTATGCATTTTCATTTTTATGGAAGTATGAGGAAGTTACAGGATGTCTGGCCAAAGCTTGGGGAAGAAGATGAAACATGGCATAGGGCGCGTTTTGTAATATGTTATTTTTGTTTCACTGATGATAATGGAAGTATAGCCACCCCAGTGGCAAAGTAGCGCGCTGGTGAGACCCATGTCCTGGGTTCGAACATGGGCGCGCTACTTTTGTATTTTTTCACTCTTTTTCTTTTCCATTTCATTTTTTTGCAGGATGGGCTTGGTCTGTTTGGGCCAGGAATTTTTGCTAGTACACTACTACCAAATCTGCTACATCACCCCTTTTGCTAACTTTCTACATTTTTATTTTTATTTGTTTTATTTTCATATTTAGCATTTTAAATATTTTCTTTAATGAATAAAAAATCTTAAAAAATATAAACTAATAATATTGCATTTTTATATTATTTCTCACATAAAAATATATTTTATTTTTAATATATATCATTTATTTTCTTAATAAACTTGTAAATACAATTAAATATATTTAGTTTAATTTATTTTGCATTTCATACTTATAAATACCTATTTTTGCATATATATATAATTTTAAATACAATATTATTTATTATCTTCACACAAAAAATGCACAAAATAATACATATAAAAAACTTTATTTTCTTTTAAATAAAAATTAGGGTTAAACCCCTTTCAAAAAATTAATTCTTTTTCCTTATATTTTTAGGTTTAGATTAAATTTTTCTTTTACATAAAAACAAGACACAAAAATCTTTTTCTTACATGTACATTGCATTACATTTTAAATATTGTATTGTATTTATCTTAATTCGTACAAATTCGATTTGGTTGTAATAATTTATTTAGGTTTATATTCTTGTAAATCCCTATTCAAGTTTGTATTCTCCCCTCCCATAAATTGTTGTATTAGCTTAGAAATATTTATATTACGTAATTTATCGCTTTATATGCCATGATTAGTAATTAGGGTTTGTATGACAAGAACCAAACAAAGCAAAATAGAACACCCTAAATACAAGACAAAATCAAGGCATGAAAATGATACACTTGCACACAAGCACCCTTAGGGTTTCACCACTTGGTTGCCTAAAACAAAAATAGTCATATTACACATGCGAAGTATCTTGGAAAAACAAAATAAATATAAGATCATAGTCTCTCGGTGACGATATTCAAGGTTGCCTTAGAAAATGATCTTGGTCCCTCAAAAATGCTAAGATACATTGCAAACATTGCTAATCATGGTTATACGATGACCCACGTCCGTCCCGTTTACATCCAAAGATAGGGTTGCTTACCAAATCAATGGTAAGACAACAATGTCAATGGAATAGAAAATACATAAGAAATACATTTGAGTAGGTAGATAGCTTCTAGTTACTTGCTCCATTTCAAACAAAATTCTTGCTATTTTTCAAAACAAACACACACATTTTAAAACATCTTACAAATCTTGAAAACATTTTCAAAAAGACAAACATCTTTGTATACATTCTTACGAACAAGAATCATTACAAAGATTACCTAAACGAATGACCTCTTTTACAAAATACTTTCAAAACCACACCAAACACAATTTCAAACAAACAAAAGCAAGTGATCTAAGCAAGTAACTAAGAGTCCATGGAAAACCATGTATGAAAAGGGTGCTAATACCTTCCATTTTCATAATCTACCCCCCGAACTCAAGAAAACATCTCAAAAGTCTTTCCTGTGCTTTTTCACCTTTCCTTTTGGATAAAAGAAAAGTCGGTGGCGACTCTTGCTAACCGCAATATTTACGATAAAACGCAAAACCTCAAGTCAGTTCTCCCACCGCATCACAGCAAGGAAGTTCCATTTTTAATCGAGCATGGCGCACGAGTTCATTTTGAAGGAAAATTTGATTTGGACAAGATGTGAAGATTAAGACTGTCATCTAAACAACCATGATTTTGAATCCAAGTCACCATGTTGGAAATTGAGCTTAGGATATTAGGGAAACGATTTGAGGATTCATTTGAATAAAATTTTGGATTTCAATTCAAGTCAGCAAAGTGCTATGCGATATCACAAGTTTCGTCCAAATTTTCTATGGTTCACTCACGTGAATTATTTTAAATTCAAGGTACCAAAGAATGAATTCGCTAAAATTTGCTCAAGCTCGTTCAAGCTTTCAATGTTCGAGCTTCATTAAAATGCAAACATGATTAGAGGTATGTTCTGATTCATGGTTTATCTAAGTCATAATTCTCATGAATCAAATCAAATTGTCAAAGCTAATTTCTTCAAGCGCGACATTATTCAAATGCAAGACTTTTTAAGCCGCTTTGGAATTCAAGATTATTCAAATTTATTTAAGAATTCAAGATTTACAACAAGACGTCATTTTTATTTGAATATATTTTACAAGTCTCCAAGTCCTAAAATTCAAATTACAAATGAAAGCGGCAATGTTACAAAAATCACAATAATACAAGATTCCTAAAGAATTGATTTTTTTGTTTTCTTCAAGTCTTCATCAAGCACGATAGGCCGCTCTTCACTAATTCTCCCCATTGCCCAAGTTGCTCGTACATGAAACAAGAAAGAAAAATTAGCAAGCATGTGAAAATTCAAGCGAGAATTATTTGTTAAACAAGAAAGCTCCCCATTAGGATTTGCATTTGGAATCAAAACTAAAAGGGTTTTTGTTTTAAATCATAGGCCGTCTTCTCCTATTTTTTGCAAATCACAAAAAGTTTGTTCTTTTTGGTTCACAAAAAAAAGAGAAAAAGAAGTTTGCAACTATTTTCCTGCTGCAAAAGTAAGTCAAAACTGTCAAATATGCAAGCTGAAAAACACCAAAACCAGGCTGCAAACAAAACAAAGTAGCCAACAACAACAAGATGCAACAAGACAGCAACAAAAACCAGGCTGCAAACAAAACAAAGTAGCAAACAACAGCAAAGGGCAGTATATGACAACAAAGCAAAAACCAAGCACAATTCAAAAATGGCAAGCTATCAAATAGCTCCAAGCCCTATGTCATCATCTTCCTAATGTGGCAAATCCTTCAGAGTTTCAATAAGTAAACAAAATTTGTTTATTTTCATTGAAAGAGGAAAAAGAGAAAGAGACGGTTTGGAAAACATCACCCAAGCATACAAAGCCAAAGACCTGCAAAACCAATACCAAGCAATAGTCCAAAGCCTTACATCAAACCAGCACATAAAATCGGTATCAAACAACCTTGTTGTTTCCCCTGCAAAAAAACAGCCTGCTAAAACCTGCATAAAAAAAACCTTGTGTTGATGTCCCCAAAACCTGCACCAAATTAGCAAAACAAAATCTGCAATGGAAAAGCTTATTTTCAGCATGCCAAACCAGTTCAAAAACATATCAAATTTCCCCCCAAAATATTATGTTCATTCACTATAAAATGACAGAGAAAAACACACAAAAGGGGGGACTGGTCACAAAATTACAAAAGAAAAAGAGCAAATTCTCACCACTTCAATCACCTCCATCAACTCTCCTTCACTATAAAAACCTCAATACAGCTTTAGCAGCTCACACCATTCTTCAAGCTTTAACCCTCACGCTGCTGTCATACACCTCACTCATCTCACAAACTCACAACTTTAACTACACCTTCACCATGGGAAACCCACGCACGGCCGAAAACCCACAACCCACAAGACCGACTTCAAATCCACTGCGCAACAACATCGCGACCAAAGCTCCACCGCTGATGAACTCCGTGCCTCTGCCCGTGAATCACCATCTCCAAACTGACGTACTACAGATTCGTACGACATCCTCACGACCGGACCGCCGCCTTCAACTCTACCTCCGTTCACCACTCAAGGTCCAGCCGAGATTGCCACCATCGGTACGTTTCTTTTTTTTCTCTTTTGGAAATAATTTTCCGTTGATTCGTAGCTGCTAGTGGTTATGGTTATTGTTGCTTTTTCAAGATGGATATGTGTTGTGTTGAGTTTGAAATAAGAGGGGTTTGTGAGCTTTATGTGAGAGAGAAAGGAGAGAAACTTACTTACTGAGAAAAACTGATGTTGCAGGTTATTAGATGTCTTGGTTTGAATTTCATTATTATTTTTTATTTTAATAATTAACAAGCAATGTATCATCTTGGTATTAATGTTAACCTTGAAAAAGTAAAAAAAATAATAACTCTCTAAAGAATGCATTAACGGCGCCTCCCCCTGCTTCAAGTAAAATTTCACTATTTTATTTATTTATTTAATTTGATTAATAATAATTAGAGTTTTTTATGTGATATGGGCTATTGGGTCTTACTTCTACTCTTTTACTTGATAATTGTTTTTTTTTCTCAATTAATCTTATTAATATATGGAAAAAGTCAGTTAATGTTTTTTTATTTTTTTTATAAGAAGAATAATGGGTTTTGTACTCTAACAGAGAAATAAACGTGATCTCTCCCCTTTTATCTCCATAGTCAGTTTTGTTTTGGTTTGCTTCATTTTAACTACTTCTTTACTCTAATTATTGGTGTTTTATTTTGGTATTGTACTTTATTATTTTTACTAGTTACTCACTTGATAATTTGTCTTTGAGTCTTTTTTCTCTTTAATTATTTTTGTATATTAGGATAGGATATTGCAATTTAATAATTTATTTTATTAGGATTTTGCAAGTTAATATTTTGCTACTACTAGGATTTTGCAAGTTAATATTTTGCTACTACTAGGATATTGAAGTGTTGTAGTAAGTTTTCTTTTACAATAAATTTCTTTAAAAAACAAATATGGCTTAGTTAGTTATTTTATTCTATAATTAATATCATTTAGTTTATTTCTTGTAATTGATTTATTTTCTTCATAATTAATTAAAATTCTAAAAAATATAGAATAAGTTTTTATTTTCTTTTCAAACTTTTCAAACAAAAACAAGAATTTTATTTCCTTATCTTTATTTTGTTAATTAATTAATTTTTACTTCATAAATTTGTTGTAATTTCGATTAATCGCATTCGACTCATCTTCATTTGTAAAAATTGTACCCCCATTCTCGAAAGCTCTGTAATAGCGTAGAATTTCCATTTTCGCAATTTACTGTTTTCCTTATATTGTATAGTAATTAGGCATGTATGGCAAGATTTAAAATCAATTGCTAGATAACCTAATTTTAACAAAATAACTTGAATCAAACACACTTTTTCACACGCGCACCTCTAGGGTAACCTCGCTTGTTGCCTCGAAAACACAGTCATGTCCCTCGAATATGGGACGTTTTAGCAAAGACCCTTCGATAAAAAAGATTGTAGTCCCTCGATGACCCTCGATGTTGCCTCCGGTAAAATGATCTAGCCCCTTACGAAAAATTGCTAAAGCGTCTCATAAGTTGCTTTCGATGACTGTAAGATTGACCCGCGCCTGTCCCTTCACATCCAACGATGGGGCTTCTTACCAAATCAATGGTAAGATAGCAACATCTAAAGGAGGAAGAAAAGAACATTTAAGACCTTTCGAGTAGGTAGATTCGCTCCTAGTTGCTCGCTTGCTCACGACAAAAGCATTTTTATACCGACACTTTCATCTCAAAACATTTTCAAAAAGACAACATTTTGTATACGTTCTTACAGAGACGAGAACCATTGCAAAACATCTTTTCAAAACCACTTTCAAAAACACATTCCACAAACACATCTTTGAACTATTTTTCGAAACAAAACTTTTTACGCGTTCTTATAGAAACGAGAACCATTACAAAGATATTTTCAAAATACTTTCAAAGCCCACAACACAAGCATATTGTCAAAGCAAAAGTAAGTGATCTAGTGAGTAACTAAGAGCCCGTAGATAACTACGGATGAAAAAGGGTGTTAATACCTTCCCTTTTCATAATCTACCCCCCGAACCCGAGAAATAATCTCAAAAGGTCTTTCCTGTGATTTTTTACCTTTCCTTTTGGATAAAAGAAAAGTCGTTGGCGACTCTTGCTATCCGCATAATTGCGATCAAAATGCAAACCCTCAAGTCAGTTCTTCCACCGTATCACAATGACATTTCACATTCATCCATCATTTACAAATTTCATAGCATATGCATACAAAATGCATATAGCACAATCTCATTTATTTTGAGAACTTCATTACGCAATGTATTTCATACATCATGATATTGCATACAACTAACTCTTTGTCTTTTCAGGTAAAGTCTACAAACAAACGAATATTGTCAACAATTTAAAAACATATCAAAGATTAACTCCCAAAACAGGATGGGGAAACTATCTTTCTATCTTTATAGTCAGATGAAGATCAATTCCTGAAACAAGACATGGCGACTATCTTTATCACCAGTGGTACGAACTCTCGAAATAGGACGGGTTTACCAACAAACGGACTATAGATCAATTCCCAAAACAGGACGGGGCGACTATCTACATGACGAATGCTTCCTTCAAAGACCTCTTCTGGCTTAGATTAAATCGAGCATAGACTTATTCTGATACTTCTTCCAGTTGTAGACAAGCATAGACATCTTCTGGCTCAGATTAACTCGAGCGTAGATTTATTCTGATACTTTTTCTAGTTGAAGTCGGGCGTAGACATCCTCTAGTTCGGATGAAATCGAGCGTAGATTTCTTTCTGATATTCTTTTTGAAAAAGTCAAGCATAGACTCTTTTCGGTACCTTTTCCAGTTAAAGTCGGGCATAGACATCTTCCGACTCAGATTAAATCGAGCGTAGATTTATTCTGATACCTTTTCTATTTGAAATCGGGCGTAGACATGTTCTAGTTCATATGAAATCGGGCATAGATTTATTTCTGATACTCTTTTTGGAAAATTCAGGCGTAGACTCTTTTCGGTACTTTTCAAGTTGAAGTCAGGCGTAGACATCTTCTAGTTCGGATGAAATTAGGCGTAGATTTCTTTCTAATACTCTTTTTGGAAAAGTTAGGCGTAGACTCTTTCTGGTACCTTTTCTAGTTGATGTCGGGCATAGACATCTTCTGGCTCAGATTAAATCGAGCTTAGATTTATTCTGATACTTTTATAGTTAAAGTTGGGGGTAGACATCTTCTAGTTTGGATGAAATCGGACGTAGATTTCTTTCTGATACTCTTTTTGGAAAATTCAAGCGTAGACTCTTTCTAGTACCTTCTCTAATTGAAGTCGGGCATAAACATCTTCTAGTTCGGATGAAATCGAGTGTAGATTTCTTTCTAATATTCTTTTTGGAAAATTCTAGTGTAGACTCTTTCGGGTACTTTTTCTAGTTGAAATCGGGCGTAGACATCTTCCAGTTCGGATGAAATCGGGCATAGATTTCTTTCTGATACTCTTTTTGGAAAAAATTTTAGATAGTGTGGCAAATGATCGAGAGGGAGGGGGGTGAATAGATCACCTCCTTATTCTTCAAGGATTTAAAATCTTTTATCAAATTTTGTTAAAAGCAGTTGAAAAGTAAGGTCCTGAATCAGCTTCCGTCTATTTTGAACCGACTACTAGAAAACCAGATATGCGATAAACTTGTTGGATTTTATTAGTATGAAATAGATGAATCTTAAGCACATATTACTTAACGTTTTTAATGCACTTATCACTAGAAAAATGTTTCCAATGAATTAAAACTTGAAAGCAATTTTGTCAAACGGTTGGCGTGTGCTTGTTTGATGATTAACAATGGTGATTTGATGAAAGTATTTGAACCACTATTTATCATTAAACAGAAAAATCAGCAAGCCATTTGAATCACGAAATTGCAGAAAATGTAAAGAGATAGAGAGAAAGAAAGAACAATACGCATGCAGTTTGGTAAGGAAGTTCCCCAATGTCGTCCTCGCGTGTGGGTACGTCTTCCTCTCAATTCCAGAATCGAAATTGAGAACTCTTATAACAATTTTGCTGAATGTTTTGAATACAAGGTTACACTACACAGACAGAAATAAATCCCTAAGATCTTCTTCTTCTTGTAATAACCTCCACTTGATATGAGCCTTATCAAGATTCCCTACAAGATCCACAACCGATCCTCCGCTTCCACGACCTGTTTGCAAAAATCCCTCTGATTTTCAAACCCCTCGCTACGGCTGAATCCGACTTGTGCGATCGTGACTAACAAACCCTCAAGAACATGCCTGTTCTTGAAGGACAAACCCCTTGGTTTTTCCTTGAAGCCCCCTTCACAATCTTCAACCCAACTGAGATCCCTTGAATGCACAACTGAACATTATCTCTTGACCTCTTGATCCAATTGAACAAAGATGTTTAATTTTCATTGTTGTTGTTGAATTAAGATGATTGAGAAGATGATGAAGATAAAGTACATTTTAGGCTTCTTACTGCTCAGAATTGATGCTCACAATTGTAATATGTGTCATACTTATTTCTACTGAAAAGACTTACTTATATATGTAACAGAAAACGGTTAGAGACAGAAATACATATTATGAGTCGATGCATGTTAGCATGAGTCGACTCATGTTAGTTATGTAACATAGGATGAGTCGATACATGTTGTTATGAGTCGATGCAAGTAGATATTACATCATATTACAGAACCAACCATTTTACATGAGTCGATGCATAACACGTATGTGTCGACACATACTGGATTGAACTTTTGATTTTTGAAGACAAAACGTGTTATGAGTCGATGCATGATGTTTTGTATTGATGCATAAAAGTTCAAAAATGTTTTACAGGGACATCAACATATCATGTGTCGATGCATGAAGTTATGTATCGATACATAAAGGTTAAATGTTACATTCTAGGGGCATTAACATGTTATGTGTCGATGCATGAAGTTATGTATCGATGCATAAAGGTTAAAGGTTGCATTCCAAGGGCATCAACATGTTATGAGTCGATGCATAGCATGGATGTGTCGACTCATACTGAAGAATACTAATTCTTTTTATGATTCTTTGCTTAAGTATGTGTCGATGCAAAGCTTTTTGTGTCGAATCATAACAGTGTTTTATGTGTAAAACACATTCTTAACTCATTTTAAACATGTTATACTATATTTTTACAATGCACTCATGTAGGTAAAATTCATTGATTATTTCACATATATATTTGCTATCATTCAAAACCAATTATATGAAGAGGTTGCTCACAAACTCCCCCTTTTTGATGATGGAAAATATTTGATGATGTGTGATGATACAATATGGATGAATGAGTTGCTCCCCCTGAGTTTGTGCATATTAAGAATTCTTTTATAACACTAACACCATCTCCTTCTCCCCCTTTGACAACATCAAAAAGAGAATAAGATAGATTTTCAGCAACTTCAGCACACATGAATTGAGATGCAATCTCAGCAATCTTGTAACAAAAAGAACCAATGTCATTCACACAGAATGAGTCTTGGCATAACCATGGGAATAAATGAGTAAACAGAAAATAATTATGGTGAAAGCAATTAACGCAGATAATATTCAGTTTACATAAGCTACAACAAAAATTGTTTGAATAGGACATTAATAAAAACTTCAGACAAAAGACATAAAGACAAATGTTATGAGATGTATGACATGGCGGGCTTAAGGATTGTTTCCATCACAATATTCATCATAGTTGTAGGGTGGAGGAGGCAGAGGAGGTGGGTTGATATCAGGATTCTGGGTCATGAATTGATATTGTCGAAATCTGTTTTGGATATCGACGTTTCTGAAATTTTCCATGATTCTAGGATTATCACGACAGTCATTCATAAAGCTAGTCATTTCATTGTAGAATACTTGGTTCCATTTAACCAAATACAAGTGCCACGAATGGTGGTTTTGGTACACTCACGTATGCTCATCATGCCATTGTTCATGCTCCTTGTGCCATTCACTTTGCTGGTTATGCCAATGTCTCGCTTCTTTATATCGAGATTCATTGGCAACCTCCATCTGTTGAAACATGGCAGTGAGATAAGTAGGAGCTTCTGAGGAAGAGCCTGCAGCAGTAGTGGTAGCAATATGTGGTGGTGCAGTTTGATCAAATTGATAGTTTGTTGGAGACCACCGGTTTGGCACCCACTCGCCCCAACCAGTTCCAGCCTAATTTTCCTCAGGTTGGGCATCCTCATTTATATCCGGCATGTCTGCATCAACAGGATCCTCATCCTCATAAATTTGTTCAGAGGGTATATCAAAATTATATACCCGTATATTGGACCCTTTCTCCTTAAAATAAATACACTAACGATTTTTATCCCATTTGTATCCCATATGAGATAGAGTTGCCTTATTGAACTCTTGGGCAACAGTAGGGGAGATAAGAGGGACATGAGGAATAACAAGATTCCAAAACTTGATGATTCTCATTATTTTTGCAGTATATCCAAGGGTTGTATTCTTTTGACTATTACGCATAAGAAACATGCGCTTGACAAAGTAGTTTGCCCAGTTTAGGGGTATCCTATCTAGCATAATATGAAAAATATGAATATACGACCTGTCTAGTCTAGAGTGGCCATCGGGTCTAGGGCGCAGTATATGTGAAATTATCCAGTGAAGCATTCTAGGAATGCTTTTGATTGTACCAGTGGTTATAGGTTCACACTCACCAAGAGGTTTATCAAGTTTCAAAATTGAGGCTATGAAAGCTTCCTCATTATAATCAGTATCAAAGCTTTGGTCAGGATAACTCTTCATTATTGACCTCCTAAATGGAATGCCAAAAACAGTTTTCCAGTCAATTGCTTCAAATATATATCTTCTTGTTCCAACTTTAACCTTAAAACACCAGCCTTTATTCGTTTCTAAACCAACATAGAAGGTGTGATCGGTGGGAATGAGAACTGACTGTTTTGGAATGTTGGTTCGCGTTTGCGTTTGTTTTTGCAAAATGTCGCGGTAAGCAAGAGTCGCCATCGTCTTTTATTTTATCCAACAAGGAAAGAACAAAAGCACAAAAAAATTCCTTTTTGAGATATTTCTCGGGTTCGGGAGGTAGATTATAGAAAGGGAAGGTGCTAGCACCCTTTCTATCTGTGGTTATCCACGGGCTCTTAGGTACTTGCTCATTGTGTTTTCAAAAGTTTGCTTTTCTTTGTGTTTGTGGGTTTGAAAGTTTTTTTTTTTGGTTTTGAAAGGAGTGTAAGTGCGAAAAGTTTTGTTTTGTTTTCAAAGGAGCAAGTACTTAAGAACCATCTACCTACTCAAAAAGGAATTAAATTGTGCAAATGTCCTTTAGACAGTGCTATCCCACTATTGAGGAGTAGGTAGCACCGTCGTTGGAG